GATTTATCACTTGAATTTATTAATGTATCAATAAATAAGCCGGTATTTAACCATACCTAAAATAGAAACCTTATCAACATATTAAGCTACATCAAAAATTTTGTATAATCTGCACAAATCCTCCCCATTATTATCTTTATTCGCCCACAAACTTTAACGGAATGACGTCATTCGACATTTCGAAAATATCCCACCAGAGGGCGCCACACCTTTTCAGTAGTTCATTTTAAACATTGTTGCTGGATTTTTCCGAATTCCCATAGGTTTGTTATAAGAATTTCTTGGAAACGTTTGCTTTCCAAATATTTATGCACAAAACAGTTGTTATGTGACCTTTATTTTGTTGATTTTGCCCGTGGCTTTTTAACGTCTTAACGAGACATTATATCAAAACACTATGGAAATGTTCAAAAATTGTATGGTAGAAACCGAGAGGAAAATAACAGCAATTTAATTCATACATACTTTATGCACTAATTGACACGAAACGTGAGAACAGGACTTTTACAGTGTTGCCAAAAGTAAAAGTAAATCATGTTTACTTAAATAGATAAAAATACCAACCAGGATTTTTTCCAGACAATTTAATTTATACAATCAAATTAATATGAAGAGGTCACAATTAGGAGAGGTGTTCGTCAAGGTTGCATACTATTTTAGCTGTTATTTAACATTTACAGCAACAAAATGATAGGGAATGTACTCTATAACTGTGAAGAAGACCAGGGTATAAATGGTAAAAAATAAACAACTTGATAGGATGACGATGATACCGTTGTAATTGTAGACACTCTGGCGGAGGATCCAGAAGAGTTGCTCGATCAAGTTGCATCCAAAATTCTCATTTCAAGTTTAACCTGAATGCATAAAATAGAAGGTAGTTGATGGTTTTAAAAACAAAAAACATTGTTACCTACTTACCTACAGCCAACAATTAGAACGGAATTAATCTTACAAATACCTAGGTTGCCAGTTTAATAAAAACTGGGATAATATGAAAGAAGTTTGAGCAAGAATCTAACAGTCCAGGACATCACTTATCAAAATAAAACCAGTTTTGTGTAGTCGCAATCTTATAACAAGACGACGAACTCACGTGATGTATTGAGAATTTTGTATTATGGTGTGCAAGCTTGGACTCTTACTGGCGTTATGTGTCAAATACTGGTAGCCTTTGAGATGTGGTGCTTGGCTCCGAATACTATGAATGGATAAAGTGCTTAATGAAAGAGTATTTCTAAGATTGGATAATAAAAACAAAGTTTTATTTATTACTATAAAGAAATCTTGAATGTTTTGACTACATCTTAAAAATAACAAATACCAACTTCTAAAATGAATAATAGAAGTTATGACTGAAGAAAACAGAGCTCCAGCTAGTATACTTATTTTCTGGCTAAAGGACCTTAGACAATGATGACGAAGTCAGCACAATGACTTTATTTGGGAGAAAAAATTCGTTACGAGAGATATAATCATCAAATATATCTCTTATCATAACAATCTCTAGATTCTCTACTCTACATTTTATTTCTAAGGAATGGTCCCAATTTTCATTGACGTTCGTACCAAGGTAGGTGTATGTTTTTGCTTTTTCTATTGGTTGACCATTTACACTGATTCTTTAAATTTGCTTTTCCTTCTTAGAGTTTATCATAGATTTTGTGTTTTTAATGTTTAGTAGAAGTTCATGTCTCTAACTCACTTCTTTAATTCTATTCATTAACTCCTGGAGGATTTTATAACTGTCAGCGAATACCACAGTGTTAACCGCGTATTTAATGTTATTGATGTATTTTTCGTTAATTAGAATTCCGGCTTTAACATCCTCTACTGATTCTTGAAAGATTTCCTCAGAATATATGCTGAACTGCAAGGGTGATAGTATGTACCTTTTTCTCCTGCTTCTTCATGTTTATTATTAACAGCTCTAAGTCTGCGTAGAATTTTTCGACCTCAGTATGATTGCCATCAGATGTTGGAGCATACATCTGAATTAGATTTATGTTTAGAGGTTTGGATTTCAGCTGAAGTAGCATCATACGTTCATTAAAGGGAATGAAATTTGTCACAAAATCTTTTAAATCATTGTTGATAATAATATCAACATCATGGCTGCATTATTCTGTGCTTCTGCCTTAGTAGAAAATAGTATTATTATCCTTGGTGTGGTTTCCAGAATTTGGCCATCGAACTTCTGAAAGACCCAATATTTGTATGTCTAATCTCTCTATTTCTAGCATGATTGTTGTTAATTTTCCTGCTTTATAAGGTGTTCTTATATTCGACGTTGCTATGCTTTAAATTCCTTATACTAAATTTGTTTTTCCACCCAAGGATTCTTCGCACCCCTGTCCCATTAAAGGGACGCCGGGCTCTCGGGGCCACTGTTTGATTTACATTCATTTGTGGTTGTCCTTGAGAAATCCTTAGAGATCTTTAATGCAGTGGTTTCTCCTTGCCTTCTGTATCCTTATGCCGTTGATCTTGGTTCATCCGCCTTTGAGATCGATTTCTCAATCTCAGGACAAAAGAGTGCCCTCCCACTTACCAACTCATCCTCCCAAAGCCGTTGGTGAGTAAGTGGGGGTTTACTTATAACGGCAAACATTCGGTGATTTCGTAGTGTCACAATCGGTTTAAATCATAATTAATGCCTGTGATTATTCAGTATTAGACCGGTAAAGAGATTTTCTCTACCGCTTCGATCCTGTAATGACATAATTGCTGCCTTATGCCATGCTCTCAGTTGATCCGCGGGTGTTTATTTGGCAAAACCTTATTCACACCTGCCCCACATATCTGTAGAATAGAATAGAATAGAATATTCTTTACTACTCCCATCAGATCACATTGTGATATAGGACAAGTCATATAGTACATAAAGAATGATCAACAAGTTATATAGGACAATTACATAAAACAAAATCAATAAAATATAGATTAATATAAAAAAAGATATGCAATATAGAGCGTCCTGAACTCGTCGGTCCTCATTCCCTGTAGTCTTTTATAAAGTCAAAATAATCATTTAGATTGTAAACGCATAATTGGATCAAGCATGCTTTTAATTTATTTTTGAAGTTTTGAATATTATTTTCATTTCTTATATTAAGTGGCAAACAATTGTAAAATTTAGATCCTGCAAAGTCAGGACTAGTTTCGAAGAGAGTTGTGAAGTGTTTACACACGCTTATCAACCTCCCGTGTCTTGTCGGGTAATTATGAAAGTCAGAGTTGAGGGTAAAATTTTGAAATTTTTAAAGTTTTGATGTAAATAATACACTTATAAATATATAAAGCATGAAAAGTCAACAGTCTGTGTTCAATCAAACATTTACGACATGATTGTCTATTATGAATATTGAATATCAATCTAAGAATTCACTTTTGAGTTATAAAAACTCTAGAAGAGTTTCTAGAGTTTCCCCACAAGTCAACATTATAGGCCATATATGAATAAACCAATGCCTAATACACACTTATTAATTGATTGGTGTTAAATAGAGTTTTCAACTAATGGATCGCATAGTAACCCTTATTCATTGTTTTGAAGACTGTAGTGACATTTTCATCCCCTGTCATATTACTTTCTAGAATGCTACCAAGAACTAATGTTGTATCACTGAAAGGTATTTCCTCAGAACTAACTGTGATTTTATAACCATGAAATGGCTTACAGCGCAAGTAGAACTGCATACAAATAGTTTTCTTTGCCTTTACCATTAAAGAGTTTCTTTTACACCAGGTTGTAAAGTTCATTTTTGATATGAGTTCGACTTTAGTTGACTCGTCAACTACAATTGTTGTAAATTAAGAAGGTATGGTCTGCAGTTAAAAAAATTATCAAATCATTGACATAAAAGAAATATTAAGGGTCCCAATACGGAGCCTTACGGTACACCTTGATTAAGATTAAAAACATATGACTTCTTATTATCGACTTTTACTAAGAATTTACGATGTTGTAAGTATAACCTTAACCAGTTCGAGAAATGACCCCGAAAACCAAGGATTTCTAATTTATGCAGTATAATTTCAATGTCAATAGAGTCAAAAGCCTTAGTTAAGTCAAAAAAGAGTGCACCCACATACTTTTTCGATCCAAGGCAGCGTGGATATAATTAAATAATGAAATAGAAGCACTCTCTGTAGATTTATTAGGAAGAAACCCGTGCTGGCATTTATTTAAGATATCATATTTACTCAGAAAATTTAACATTTTACTGTAAAAAAATTTTTCGATCATCTTAGAGAGTACACTTGTTACGGTGATTGGCCTGTAATTATCAACCAAACATGGATCTCCCTTTTTGAAAATTGGACTAACTACTCCCGTTTTAAGGTCACTTGGAAACTTGCCATCTTTGACAAATAGGTTGATGATGACGAAGACAGAAGAGGAGATATATCTGAAAAAAGGTATTTAATTATTTTAGCGGGGATTTGATCTGATAGGACGTTCCCTACCAGCCATTGGGAAGCGCCGTGTTGAAATTGAGAACTACCCCCCTCCGAGTGTATTTTCCAAGAAGTACTAAAGAGCCCTTACTCAATTCAGAACCCCTCCTTCTTGGAAACTACACCGGCACAAGAAACTACACCGTATTGTATAATATGAGATATCAAATCACGTTGGGACCAATTTGTCAAAGACTGTTTGTAGTATTTTTCAGTACATATTATCTTCTTAAACAAAACGCAGATACCAAGAATATAAGGCTATATTATAAGTTGTATTAAATTGTTGTTATAAACAGTAAATGATGGCAATTATTGATCAAAATAGTGGATCGCAAACTAAAACTTGTTAAATAAATTTAAAACAATATTTATATGATCAGCATTGATTGGAAGTTATCCAATTTTCCAATTTCTTTCGTGATCAGACAACCCCGCCACCTTCTGACCGTCCACAACCCTGTTCTGTCTGACATTTACCACAGCGCAAGCGTTCCCCGCCGTATTGATCATCCCTTACGTCTATGACTAAGAGGAAATTTTAGCTAGAGGTTTCCCTCGGTGGAAAATCGTCGAAAACCGCGATATTCGGTTCTTTCTCGTGTGTTGTTATAACATAATTCGGGCGGGCAGTGGTAAAAATTCTACCATGGCCGAAGAGGGCCCACAAATCAAACCCGTGCAGGGTGGTGAGTACATTTACCATATTTTCCTTGAAAAGTAGTCAATATTCTTTTAATAGAAGTATCAATAACAATATCCACCAACAGAGTATTTACATACTCTTTTAATAATGCTGTTTTTAATACGTCGTATGAGTTTCACTATGAATTACGAAATTAAATGTATTAAGTTGGAAGATACATATACAAATGTACATAATTTGGATCTCAGATAATTGTTTAATGGAAAAATATGACGCAGTTGTTACAAATACTTAATTTTATACTTTACTATCAAACTACAATTACTATAACTTTTTCCAATACTAATATCAGGTATCCTATAAGTATTGATTATATTAAAGAAGACATTTCGAACAAATTCAAAGTTTTTTTTTAAACTGCCTAAAAAGAAACTTCAATTAAAATTTTATGTCGCGATCTATCTTTCGCTGGACACCCAAATGACAGTTATCGGTGACCTTTCTCAAGAATATTGGTTGTTTTCTTAGCAACAGTTTCGTGAGGGTTTTTGAAGCATTTGGAAGTTTGAGCTGTTTTGGACAATTGTGTAATAATGTCTGTCTCGGTTTTGTTAATTGAAATAGGTCTTTGAAAATTTGAATTTATTTCCAAAACGTTTGAATCAGTGAGAAGAGAAAGCGGACATTTCACAAACATCGAGTTAGCGGTAAATAAGAAAAAACTTAATTAACGTTAATTGAAAACTATTCAGTATTTATCAAAATTCTTATTGTGAACTGTATAGAGCAGTCCAGTAATGATAAATATTGATACAAAATTTAACGAGGGCAATTATAAGGACACAAAATAACTATTTTTTATTGGATATACCCGGTTTTTCTTCTTCTTTAAGTGTCATCTCTGCGACGAAGGTTGGCAATCATCATGGCTATTCTGACCTTCGAGGCAGCTGCTCTAAACAATTGCCTTAAGCTGCAACCAAACCACTTTCTCAGATTCTTCAATCAGGAAACGCGTCTTCTTCTTACGCTTCTTCTACCCTTAATTTTTACTTGAATTATAAGTCTCAAGATGTTGTACCTTTCGCCTCTTATCACATATCCGAGATATTGCAATTTCCTTTCTTTTATTGTATTTTCCATTTCTCTCTCTCTGCCTATTCTGCTTAATACTTCTGTATTCGTGACTACATCCTACTATACTTCCATCTACCCATGGAATCCTTAAAAATCTTCTAAATGTACATTTCAAGCGTGTTAAGTCGATTTATTGTATTCCGGTTTAATGTCCATGATTCAGCCCCATAGTAAAGTGCACTATGTACATAGCATTTAATTAGCCTTAATCTGAGAGCCAATGTCAGATCTTTGCTGCATAAATTTTATTTTCATTTTCACGAAGTTGGCACGTGCTTTTTCAATTTTATCAACAATATCTTATTTCTGAAGTATAATCGTTTTTCTATGATTATCGTTCGTAAGTAAGTATATCTTTTTACTCTCTCAATCTGCTGGCTGCCTACCGTTAATATTTCGTTTGTATTGTTGTTCTTAATAATTATCGTGAATTTGTTTTTTTTTTATGTTCAGAGAGAGTCCGTATTATCCACTATATCTTAATATTTTGTTCATTATTCTTTCTAGATCTTCCTAGTTGTTGGCTATTATGACTGTATCGTCAGCATGCCTAATGTTATTAATTAAACTTTCGTTCGATTTTATGCCGACTGTCTCGTTTACCAAAACTTCTTGTATGATTTCTTCAGAATAAGCAATAAACAATAACGGCGACATTATGCAACCTTGCCTGACCCCTCTCCTTATCTCCACTTCTTATGACACTTCTCTTCCAATTTTCACATTTGATCGTTGGCTGTAGTATAAATTTGATAAACTCGGTTTCATCGTTCTTGGCGTGTGCCTGAAATAAGTTACTACGGAATTTTTAATATTCGTCTCTCTCTGATACACAGATGCGTAATTCAATTGTGCGAGTCACGTTCGTCATGGTAAAGTGCGATGAGAAGGGAATGAAGAGACCACTCACGTCTCCCAGTATTGTAGCAATAACACCGATGCGTTTGGCCGATACGGTGTCGGTGGTAAGTTCGGCCTCTTTACGAATACAGATAGCTGCCACTGGAGGAGGTAAACGAATCGAGCTTAGATAAGGAAAGACAGATGAAACAACTTATTGCAAGTGTTTTTACACGCACACGCCAAGAACGATGAAAACGTCTATATCGTTGTGTGATGATATGGTTGTAGTATAAATTTGATATCAATGTTACGTCCCTCATATCCAGATTCTCGTTTTTGAGTACTTCTATAAGTCGGTCATGTTTTACCTTATCAAATGCCTTGTTGTAGTCTATAAAGCATACATAAAGATCTCGATTAACATCCAAACATCTTTGGATCAGCACGGTAATAGGTAATAGTGCCTCTCTTGTGCCCACTTAATTCCGAAATCCAAACTGGGAATCACTAATATCCATCTCCACCTTAGCGTGTATTCTATTATGGATGTTTTTAACAGGGTTTTTAAGATATATTACATTAGACTGATCGTTCGATAATCACTACATTCTTTGGCATTTACTTTCTTTGGTAGACAAATAAATGTTGATGTTAGCATTTCCTGTGGTTGATTCCTGTGGAATAGATTGTGTTCAGTAGTTGGACTAAAAGATCTATGTTTTTTTATTATTGACCAGTTGTAGCAATTCACCTGGTATTTCATCTGGACCAGCAGCTTTATTATTTTTCATGGACTTTACTGCATGCATAACTTCTGACTTTGTTATTTCGGGCCCCTCGTCTTTACTCTGATTATTTTTATATATATTTTCCTGTCTCTGGTCATGGAATAATTCCTCTTTATATTCTTTCCATCTTCCTAATTTTTGTTCCGTCTCCACTAAAATGTTTCCTTGTTTGTGCAATAGTATTCTTCAGATTTTTTGTTTTGCTACTCCATCTAATTCTTTAACTTCCTTATGGAGATTGAAGTTATCATATTTGTTTTGTAGGTCTTCTATTTCTTGGCATTTTCCAGCGAAATAAGTCTCTTTAGCTTCTTTTATTTTCCTTCTTATTTAGGCAGCTGTTGATACTGAGGTATGTTGATATTTTTGTTGCCTTCTTCTGTCCTTTATCACTTCCAAGATTTCTTCTGCCATCCACTCTCCTTTCTTGCATCCCTTTTATTGGTTGGCTCGATAATTGCATTTTAAAGAATTACCCGGTTTTTACACAATACAAAATACCAAGATAAAAAGAAATAAATTTAAGTTCTTTGGATTGGCCATGTAAATAAGTAATCATAAAATATCTTGGATTCAGGAATGTTCTCATCCAAGTAGAGTGCAAATTTTAATAGATGTTCTAATTTCTTTTTCTTAATTGGAACTTTGACTTAAGGATAGACCAAGTTGACTATACATCATTAAATTCGAGAGAAACAATTTGATCTTTTGCCTGCGAGTTACAAGAAAAGTGCATGAACTTGCTGATAGAAAAAGAAACGTTTTGTTCTTTGGGAATATATCTACCTAGCAATTCTTGTAATAAAACATTTCTAATGTAATATCTAGTTCACCAATACTTATAATATTTAATAATACTATTGTCTTTCTCGATCAGACGGATAGTGAAATTTCTTTCAGGACTAGCAGTTATAATGAGTTATACATACTCTTTCAATGAGTAAATCCTATCAATCTTTCTTATTGTTCTCTTTACCAGGGTGGCACTGACTCACCATTTCAAATCTTCTGAGGTCTGTTAAGTCTCTGATTAGGTAAAGCAGCTTGTGGAATATGACTGGGTCGTCTTTGGATAGGAGTAAAGCTAATGAGGCTTGATAAATATGAAACCTGCTCATCTTTGATATTAAAATTATTAAACATATTCAGTAAGTCAGAACCTTGCTCCTGTATCATTACATAAAAGCATCGGTACCTTTTATACCGACAACCAAGATTAAAGTCATAAGCATTGAGAAAAACAACGTGGTATTATGGAAAAACTTACCTACAGTCACATCTTGTTGTTTGGACAACTCCATGTATTTTAGCTTGCTTTATGGTTTCCCTTCGATAAACTTTTTTTTCCGTTTTTGTGGTTGATCTGTAGTTCAAATTTCACAAACGCTATCACCTGTAATATAAGATTTATTGTGTTGAACAGTTTCCGCCATGCTGAACAATATTTCTAATAAAAAAGAAAGAAACATCACATGTCATTATTTTGTTTTTTTTAACGATGCGAATTTTCTCTGTAGTTTACTCTGGAAATCTAGGATTTTTACAAAACTGAATGTATGAGATCGATAAAGAAAGTACTATTCTATCCAAACAACATATAAAGTTAAATTTGGAAAAAACGGACATGTGGTGTTTTTCAAATAAACGCTTCAATCATTTTATTTCTTTAAGAAATCAGTTTGTTGGAATTGCTAGAGTCTTAGATGTCAAACTCTTAAGTTCTCCATATTGGTTAATCCTGCTATACTTACATTTGCTCCCTGTATATATTTTCTTGCTGATATTGATAGTTTCCAAATTGTATTTTATTACACCCTGCTATAAAAGATCAGTGTAAGAAGAGCACTATATCCTTCATAAAACTCGTCCCGTTAGATTCAGTTACAGGTGAAGCTCTTCGATCTATGATAAATTAAATTTTCTGGCGCCAGAGTTCCCGCTTTCCTTATTCCGCAGCGGTTAACGTGACCTGACACTGGCCCTATACAAGGCACGGTAAAATACGGGGATTTCCGTTTTAACAATAATTTTTTGAGACAGAAAGCTTAAAGCCAACGTTGCAGAGCGCTAGCGTTATATATCAGAGTAGAATTGGAATTTGTCTGTCAGGTTTATTGGAAGTTTGAATTACGTTTTTTTGGTACTATTATATTGGTATATGGTTATCAAAGATTCATCAAATTATAAAATGTCATTAAATTATAAATATTATTTAATATGACTCTATATTTTTGTTTAACCTTCTACTATCAACACTACCTATTATTATGTATCC